ACCTTGCGTGCTACTTTGAGCTTCTTACTCATCCTTTTTCTGCTGGAAAGCAGCGCCGGTAAGAGGAAAGGGCACGGTCTCCAGCTCTGTGCTCGCAGTAGTTGTCCAGATCCAGAGTGCCTGGCTTTATAGTGCCACTCCAGAAAGGTGAGCTGCACCGTACTTCAAACAGCACGTCTTTCAGTGCCACGTTCTTCTACCAACAAAGCAACAGAAGGGAATGTGCTGCTGACAGGCTTCTTTTTGCCGTTCCCCTGTGGCATGAAAGGCGACAGCTCGGAAGATGACACGGTGCTGGGGTCTGAGGTGGAAACGAGTAACGCGGCGCTTGGTTTAGAAGCTCAGAAGTGGATCTTCGTGTAGCCACTGCAGAGAAGTAAGAGGATTTGCAGCCCTAGCTGAAACCTGGACACGGGAGGCTTCCAGTTTATGACTTTCCTGACGTTTCTTTTCCACGAGGACCGATCTGATGAGCTGCTGGGGCAAGCCTCGCCTCTTCTAGTTGCACAGAGTCAAACTAGGTCATAACGTACGGCTCCTGCGTCCTGTTGGATGTGCTAAGGCACAGCTGACTCCAGTCACCAGGGTCCTGGATGTTCACTTTTCCTTGTGGCTTTGGAGACAGGGTGTTGAAGGAAAAATGAGTGGATGATGTTATGGAATAAAAATAGCAATAGTATTATTCCGGGGTTAAATGGATGCAATAGAAGGGGGAAATAAAATGGGCTTTTGTATTCTGCAAGTTTCAGCAAAGACTGATTGCCAGGGGAGCATTAAGGCTGAGAAATACATGACTTGCTTCGGTTAATGCAGAGAATCGTAGTCTCTGATTCATTTTATTTGTCAGCCCTGAATAAGCTTTAAAAGGCTTTGAGATTCATGCCCTGTCTCCGGCAGTCTGTATTTCAGGGAATCTTATTGTAAGCCTGTGGATTTCATGCCCAGAATGTGTCAGGGTTCATTTTGCTGTCTTGGAGAAAGAGAGGGGAGGGAGAGCCCTGACGATTTCCTTGCAGCGGTACCTGGCACACTTCACATTTGCTCTCAAAGAGCCACAGGCTGAATGTAGTGTTTGGCAGCAAAAACTTTCTCACGGCAGTAGCTAAAGGACCGTGGCCCCTCGAATAACCCCGTTTTCACAGAGCTGGCTGCAGCGAGCAGCTTGGCTCTTTCTCCCATCTTTTGATTTTTGTCTATCTGATGGGCAAGAATTAGTCTGCCGAGTTGCGCCGCTCTCCTCGGAGAATGAGAATTAGGGAAACGTGTTTTGCTTGCTTTGCATCGGGGAACAGATTTGGTGCTTGGCTTTTCCATCTGGACGGTGATCCTCCTGCCCTTTCCATATTGCTGCCGGAGCGACACGGTGAAAACTGTTCCCTGCCTGCGGTCGTTCGTGACACCGAGCTGTTTGGGGATTTATTGGCTGGCGCAGCAGGAAAGGCACAGTTTGGCAAATGAGTTGAAACTAATGGTTAGAAGTGAGGATTGGTTTGTTGTGGGGTTGTTTTTTTCTTTTTTTGGAGTTTAATCAGGAAGGAGATCGCAGGCTTGAAGGCTGAAAGAAACTTTGTGTGCCTCTTAGTCTTTCAGGTGGCTGCGTTTAACCCCTACCTTGGAAAAAAAAGTCCTGAATGCTCACCAATACATGTTTTTATACAGTCCCCCAAATCTTTAGGTGTATATATGTGTGTGTGTGCACACTATATTATATATACATATACACACGCAGCTGCCTGCGGCGTTTTTCAGTGAGATAAGACGGCCGGCTTGGCTCCTGAAGGCACCGCGAAGCGGTAAAGGACCCTGCGTAGAGAGCTGAATTCTAACCATCGTGAAGTTTCCCTAATTGGATTTGTTCACATCTGCTGTGCCTGATAAGCAGAAGGTTAATAAGAAAGTAAGTTGATTTTCTTCGTCGCCAAATTCCTTTTTTTAGCTAGATAATTTCGGGGAGAAATACTGCTAAAGGCGTAATTTTATTCCTGGTCTTAATGTAAAGAAAGGATTACTGTATTTTCAACACTTAGCTTTTCTGTCAGCAGCTTGATTTAAATGCAGTAATTCCAGTAATATCAGCTGAGGGTTTGGGGGATTTTTTTTTAAGACTTCCTGCCCTTATCTTCTATAACCGCATCACTCACGCTCCATGTATTGCACAAGGGGTAAATAAATAGCAGTGCCACAGTTTAAAACAATTTATTTTGTAATGCTGTTTCCGCCTAGGTTCTCAAAGTGCACGACATCAGCGAAGAGCTGCATGGAGTAATGCATTTCCTTCTTTATAGCAGAGCAAAGATGTCAAGCGAGCAACTTAATTTAGACACGATCTGGTAGGATCGTGCCAAATTCTACTGCGTATCCAGCCTTAAAACTGATGGGAGGGATTTTTATTTATTTTTTTTTCTCCCTCAAACCTTCTGTGTCGAGACTCAAATGGAAATTACTCTTAAGACTGCAGTATATGAGCAAAAAAAAAAAAAAAAAGCAGTGTACTGGAAGGGGGGGTAAGCTAATTTGCTCCCTTTCTCTA